AAATGCCCCTCAAATATCCATTGGAAATGGTAGTTTTACGGTTGAAAAACAATTTGATTGATCATCTTGACATCGAGATGTATGGCTATGAAAAATAAAAAGATTCTAAGTCTCATAAATAGTGTGTTTTACAACATATTATCTACACCGTCCATTTTCAAGATTTTCACATGTTTATAGATCTACTTGATTTTAATTTATAATTAGATATAAAAATCGATTTTAAGATAATCCTAAGAACATTTTACATCAGAATTATATACCATGATGAAATTTGAAGGTGCACCTTACCTCTACACCTACAGATGCATCCGTATGCCAATTGCACCTTAGAATTAAATAAATTTTATATTTTTTTAAACACGCCATAATTTGTATTTCCATATCCTGATTAGAGATAAAGATAGTATATTGGATCGAATTTAGATAAGGATCCAATGATCTCATTTCTCCTATATTATGGGATTATTAAATATGAATGTTCATTGCTTCTAAATTTACGAGCGCTTCCATATTTACATGGTCTCTCTCATATTCTCAAATAACCAATTTACACTAATAATCTATGAAACCGCTTTAGAGAAAATAGAAGTCGATAGTAAAACTTTGAAGATTATTTGATAAAGTTTCTTCTGTAGATATTGATGACCAAGTGGCCATGATCCCTCATTTCTTAGGCCTCTCAAATCAAGCAATGTTTTCTGGTTGCGATTTGTATCTATGATATGGCTTTGTGCATATCTTCGCCCATTTCTAGAGAGCTAGAGATATTTTGGATTGCCCATACTCAAATAAATTATCTTATTACAAGAGAGAGTCAAAATAAGAGCATTAAGAGAGAGACTATTACTTATTATCAACAAATTATTTATTTACCACCATCCAATGTTTGAAAAATATGTTGTCTTAGCCCATAATAAATAAGCAATGAAACGAGCATTTCTTTTGTTTTCCATCTCTATCCTTACATTTATGTTTAAAATGTATCAACGTTTGCTTTTATCTTATGATATGTTTATTATTTTTTTATCTCTCCTTACATTTCTACGTGCAACACATGTAAATCTACTAGTATATATATAAACCTTATAACATGTTTATATTTTTTATTGTGTATATTTTGAATTCAAAAACCTTATAATCTAAATGATAATTTATTTCATAGTACATATAATATATTTAAAAGGTTATGTTAGGGTAGTACTCATACATATGAGTATTTACTTATTGTATTTAATATTTGTAGACACTCAATGCCTTTACTCCACCATGTAGTAACATTTTTGCCTAAATGTATTTTAGGCAATTAAATAAAGATAAAATCGAAAAAACTTAATAGAAAGACGAACATTTATTACTTATAGTGATGATATCATTGTGACATCACCCACATGGAATAGTGATTGTTTCTTTACCATCAATAAATATCACTATTTTATTATAAAAATATATATCCTACCCCTCTGAATTACGACAAGTGATGTTACTAAAAAAAATTGTATTACAAAACAAGGGTATATAAATGTTTAAAGAAGTTAAGTACATTAAAAGAATACTCATATGTTGAATACCCTATCACAATTCATATTTAAATTAAGTAAAAAGCTTATATAAGTTGTCAACCTTATAATGTAGGAGTAAGGTGCATCTTAAAAGTCTACTTCAAAAAGGTTGCTCCAATGTTGAAAATTCATGTAATTGATCATATTGACTTTAAGATGTATGGACATCAAAAAAGGATTTGCATTCATGAAAAAAATGCATCTCGTGGCACATTATCTTGACCATTTATTTTAAAATATTTTAAATGTTTAGATCCGCTTGATCTACAACATTTCCAAAATTTTAAATTTTGTAATGAGGTGTAAAAGTAGATTTGTAGGACATTGTAAGGGTTTTCGACAACAACACAACATTTTTTAGCACAAATTTAGAGGTGTCTTCTTCAAGTGTTTAAAGTTGACACCTTATACAAACTGCATCCTTAAATTAAATGGAAAAGTATCGAATGAGATCATTTACCTTTGATACAAGGTAGTCACCATTAATCTTGACCATTGGATGTGAAATTGAGACCAAGCTCAAACTTCAAAAGAATTTTTGTCGAACTTTGTGACACACTCAAACTATCAAAATCACATTGGATAGTCATAAGTAATTGTGACCGCCTTATATCAAAGGTAAATGGTATCATTGTATACAATCCCTAAATTAATAGATTAAAGTCTCATAAACTATTCAATAGATGGAATAATATCCCAATAAAATCCACATTTACAATATCATAATAATGATAATTGTCACTAAGCTGCTAAGCCAATCAATACTCCCAAGGTGTGTCCTTAACCATACTGCTATAAATAGTAATTAAAGAGCATTAATTTGGTGTGATTTCTAAAATAGTGGGTCATAAAGTTTTGCCTCACTAAAGAGATTCATTAAAAGGGCGTGGTTTATTCGTTAAACAATCCAATTAAGCCGCACATGTTATCATGTAATTTTAGTGTAAATTTGTTTTAATATTATCTGAAAGTCTATTTTCATATCTAAATATAAATTTTAAACTTAAAAAATGGGCAAAATCAAGTAGATCTATAAACGTATGAAAATCTTAAAAAATTGATGATTTAGATAATGTACTGCAAGATGCGTTATTTTTTAGGAATTAAAATCTTTTTTTGTTTTCATATTCATATATCTCGATGTCGAGATGATCAATTAAAGGGTTTTTTAACAATAAAACAATATTTTTTGATGGATTTTTGAGGTGCATCTATAATTCTACATTTTAAGGTTGCAACCTTATATAAACTTTTTCTTTTATTAAATTACATACAAGGGATCCACTATTCAACAATTTACCATATTTTTTAATTTATTTTCAAAATACCCATCAAAATACACACGAGCATAAGTTAGAATACTTTAAACATGATAAATTGTTAAATGGTTGAAAAGGCAGGTGTATTTTGATAAGGACAAAGTCTCTATTAGGCCTAGGTTGTATGAAAATAAAATAAAGCCTCATATCAAATTATCGTTCGAAAAGCACATTTGGCAACTAAAATCTTCATGATGGATCTAAAATCAATTTTCAACACTGACAATAAAATTTTGAAACTCAACAAATAATACATAACTTGTGGATCTATGAACACTTATTTTTAGGGTGAAATGAATGGTCTAGATAATTTCAAACAATATATATATTTTTTAGAGCTTAAAATTCTAACTTTTTTTTTCATAGCCATATTGTTCAAGCCGATGTGATCCATGAAAAGGTTTTCCCAATAGTTGAATTGTAATTTTTGATGAGTTATGAGGTGAGGCCTTATGTAGTTTGATAGGGCTGCAACCCAATAATACCATTTTCCTTTTGATAAAGGACGCAGGTGAGTCAGCCGACTTATTGTTTTGCGGGCCCTTATGCATCAAACGGCCATCTCTAAGATGGACGTCCACCCACTCAAGTTAAATGAGTGGTGGGAAAAGAAATTCAAAAGATACTTCATTATTTGGAAAATAATTTTTTTTTCAATATTCACCAAATACTTTTCCTTTGATAAATTTCTCATACTATATACACTGTAATTACTATTCCGATTGCTATTCCACCCAAATCTGTGGGTGGCAATAGTAAAAATAACAGTGATAATAGCAATTCCTTAATTAATTTGGAATGAGGCGGGAATTCTAAAGCCTACAGGAAAGTATACCATGATCCCTAGGCCATAGAAAATGTTGGGCAATGAAATCCTGACCGTCCAACCAATAGTGGGTGGCGATTGAAAGAGGATCTCTCTGTTAGTGTCATACATTGGCGGGTCCACTTTCTATTCATCACCGCCCATTTACAAATTGGACGTTGATTGATCCCTGACGACCACATCCCTTCGTAGTCGTACGGATTATAGTAAAATCTAGCCGTTCAGAGAGAGCACAGACGAGCAAGCTCGACAAAAATACCCTAGATTTTGCCTCCAATTCACAACTCCGATTGACTTTTCAAACCTAAAATCCTAATTATTGTATCTCCAATTCTCCATTCTAAAACCCCAATACTTTATAAATCTCAATTCCAAAATCCTATTTTTTCCGTCCATTCTGAAACCCTAAATCTCCTTCATTGGGCTTGTCGATTTTTATCCAATATCTCTATAGCCGGCTACCCAATAATTATAAATTAAACAATGAATCAATAAATTTTTGGTTATAAAAATGAAAATGTGTTATTTTTTTCTTAGATTTTGTATTTTTCTTAATTGTCAGGATTAGTCCATTGGTTGTACTGCTTTAGTTTTTCTAAATGATGATTAGGATTGTTTCGAGAGAGACTCTGGGTATGATCAACAAGATGATAAAATTCATATACTATAAAGTGACTTTGGATTCTATGATTTTAGGTTCTTGTTAAATTGGCTTTCAGGGTGAGGCTTCAAGCTTTTACTACGGTTTGATTGATTTTTGCTTTATTTTGGATTTGTTTTGAACTGCTGATCTCTGTTGATTTTTTGGAGAATTGGGTTCACTTTTGTTCTTTCTTTCTTCTTTTTTTCAGAATCAGAGGGTTTTTGGGTGGTTTTTAGTTTATGTGAAAGTGGATTAGTAGAATTTCTTGCAAACCTATACTGAATTTATTTAATTTTTTATCTATTCAGGAATTTGGGCAGATTGGGTTGGGTTAAATTCTTTTCTGATACTTTTAATTTAAAATTTGAAATTTTGAATTGGATTATTGTCTTCGATAAATCTGGTTGAATTAGAACTGGATCGAGTGTAGAGATTTTGGGGATTGTCTACATTGAAAGAAAGGTTTCAGCTGTTGAATTACACAATTGTGGTGAAGATATTATGTTATTTCCTAAGGAAACTGAGGAGAAGTCAAAATAAGATTGTGATGTAAGGACAAAGCGGGTATTCCATTTAATGGAATTTCAAAATTTTTGTTCTAATGATTTTATACTTAGCTCACGAATAGGTAAATATATTTACTCATAGCTAAGAATATGAAGAATACCAGAAATTTGTGTTGGACAAAGTTTTAACAAGTGCTACTCTTTTGTTGTTGAGCTTTTTGGTGTACGGTAACTTGAAGAAGATAATCAGTGTGATATGGAGGATTAATCTTGTGATATTGTATGATTATGAAGGATTCCATATTTCTTTTAGTCTAAGCATATATAAGAAAGCCTCATAATGCCTAAACAAAGGCAAAATAAAAGTAAAATCCGATGGAGCAAACTATACTCTTTCTCTTGTGTGCGACCTGGTGTTGTAGAAGCTGCTTCAATTGAGCAGCTTGGTGGCCCTGGTTTCAGTCGCATAGTTTTTTGTAATCAGCCTTACTTACACCAGACAAAGCCATTGATTTATCCTGATAACTCCATCTCGACAACCAAATACAATATCATCAGTTTTCTTCCAAAGGCTCTCTTTGAACAATTCCGCAGAGTTGCCAATCTTTACTTTCTATTGACTGCATGTTTGTCAACAACTCCATTGGCACCTTTCACACCTGCAAGTATTATTGCACCATTCGTATTTGTCTTGGGACTCAGCCTGGCCAAGGAGGCAGTAGAGGATTGGCAAAGATTCAGGCAGGTAATGCTATAGGAGCCCATTCTCTCTTTCTCTTAGTTGTACCTTTAAATGTTACTGTTGCTTAACTGGGTTAAAAAATTGATGCTTTTTCAGTTTTGCTTTCTCATTATACACTGCTAAGCAGTATAAATTGTTCTGGCCGCAATAAATTCTAACTGTTGGCTGTTTGGTGATATATCTTAGTGAATCTTAATATCTTTTATCATTTGCTTAAATTCTTAAGTAGATGGACTCCGTGCACTAAGCCCATTGCGTGTTTGTGATTTTTGATGCTTTATTCTAGCAGTCATGCTTTATTATGTTGTCTCCTCTTTTTCTCAGTTCTCTTTAATTTTTTATGATTCCAAAATTCATGTAATGTTTTGCTTGACATTTAAATGAGCCTTTGTTTTATATTACACTCTAAGAAGGAAGCTAGCTGGAATTGTTGTGTCAAATCCTTATCTTCATATCATGGTTGCTAGCCATTGCCTTGCATTTTTTAGGATGAAATTATCATTGATCCATACAAATCACTTTGGTTGTTTTCATTTTGTTCGAATAATTTCATTGGGATGTTTGTGGACCACGCCATTGAATTCTCTGTTCAATTGTCCTCATAACTAAAATTTAATTCAACATCTTTCAAAATGAAATACTGATTTAGTTTGACATTTGAAATCTTTTCCACTTGCAAATAATAAGTAATGGGTAAGCCTCTTAGGTTCTTCTCTTTTATTTATTATTGTTTTTTAACCAGTAAATTAAGAGCTCATTTACATCATAGTAAAGAATGTATTTGTCCCCATATTCAATGCTTCTTCTACACAACCATGGTCAATGGTTCTTCTGTTGCTGTTAGATAGATTTGCATATATATGATTTATTTGATTTCAGGTTTCTGATTTATGTTGAAACGTTCATTGAAATTTACTGGAAATTTGTTTTGAGCATGGATCTGTGTTAAGTTGTTACTCTTTTTGTCGTGGTTCTGAAAGCATAATAATATTTGGACTGGGCACAATCATTGTAATATAAGAAAGCAATAAAACTTGTCAAACAATATGCATAGTATAGTCAATGGGTGGTCAGATAGTTTTGATGGGTGTTAGCATGACCTATTGGCATCTGGCATTTTGGTTTTCGCCATGCAAAAAGGGTAGCTCAATTTTCAATACTTCTAGTGAGCATCTGGTTTTTCACTAAATGTCTACGACATTCAATAATAAAAGATCACAAGTTTAGACTGCTTTTCTTTCCTTAGCAAGATTGAAAACAATTTTCAAAATTTGTTTCACAACACAACAAAGATGTTCAGATTGGGGTTTGTTTTGATTCATGATGTTTTATGTATTGGAATAAATCAAGTTCACTGTTTGTCAAATCACCTCATTGCCAATCCATGTGTATTTTACTGAATGTTTACATAATATGATGGTTGCAGGATTTGAAGGTCAATTCTCAAGTGGTAAAATATCATAGAGGAAATGGTGTCTTTGACACCAAAACATGGAGAAAACTCTGTGTTGGAGATGTTGTCAAAGTAGAGAAGGATGAGTATTTTCCAAGTGATCTCCTCTTACTCTCCTCGAGCTATGGTGATGGGCTTAGCTATGTTGAGACCGTGAATCTTGATGGGGAGACAAATTTGAAACCTAAGAGATGCTTAGAAGCAACACTTCCGTTGGATCAAGATACTGAATTCAGCCACTTTACGGCTTCAATTCGTTGTGAGGATCCCAACCCTAATCTCTACTCCTTTGTTGGGAACTTGGATTTTGAGGGTCAGTTATATGCATTAAATGCTGAACAAGTGCTTCTTAGAGATTCCAAGCTTCGGAATACTGGTTATGTTTATGGTGTTGTGATCTTCAGTGGTTCCGATACAAAAGTGGTCCAGAACTCCACAAGGTCTCCATCCAAAAGAAGTCACATTGAGAAAAAGATGGATCACGTTATTTATCTCCTTTTTGCCATTCTTGTTCTGATTTCACTGGTTAGTTCCATAGGATGCTCTTTGTATACCAAGTTTGAAATGACAGATTGGTGGTACCTTCAACCTGATGTGGGTGATGCTTCCTTTGATCCGCAAAAACCAGAACTAACAGGTGCCTCTCAAATGATAACTTCACTGATGCTTTATGGCTATCTAATCCCAATATCTCTCTATATTTCAATAGAAGTTGTGAGAGTATTGCAAGCAATCCTCATTAACCAAGATATGCAGATGTACAATGAAGAAACTGGCAGTGCTGCTGAAGCCAGAACCTCAAATTTGAATGAAGAGCTTGGCCAGGTTGAAATGATTTTATCAGATAAAACTGGGACTCTTACAAGTAACCAGATGGAATTCGTGAAGTGCTCCATTGCTGGAGTTTCTTATGGTTGTGCAGTAAGTGAAGTTGACATTGCTGCATCCAGAAGATTTAGAGCAGACATGAAAAAATTTACTTTTGATTCTCAAGGTTCTGTTTGTCTAAGCCAGAGTTTTGATATATCTGGGTTTCCAGATAGTGATGATAAAGCCCATAACACTGGGCAGAGTGAAGAGGGATTCAAATCTGAAGAAGCTGATGCTACCGTTGAAAATGACAGTAAACATGTTCAATTAAGAAATGGATATAAAATCAAAGGTTTCAACTTTAATGATGATCGGCTCTTGTGTGGGAAGTGGATAAACAACTCTTGTGTTTTTGACATTGCTATGTTCTTTCGAGTGTTGGCCTTGTGCCACACTGGTATACCAGTACAAGATGAGGAAACTGGTGCAATAAAATATGAGGCTGAATCCCCTGAAGAAGTGGCTTTTCTGATTGCTTCCCAAGAGTTTGGATTTAAATTTTGCAAAAGAACCCAATCCGTTTTGGTGCTTAGGGAGTTCATTCCTTTTTCTGGACAGGAAACAAAAAGGTATGTGAAACCCTTAAATATTGAGTTTCATGGATTACCTTTGAGGCTTAGAAGACAAAAACTTAGGGGGTCATGGAAAAACCATAATCTATTGGATCATCACCATCCATTGAAATGATAAATGTGATGGTGCGAACCTGCAATAGTTCATATATTGTTCTGGTACGTCCCACCCTCTCTCCATCACCACCCATCAAAGAGCAACCAATGGAATATGGTTTTTCCTTGTGTACTAATTTTTATAAAATCCATTGATTAACATTCTGAAATTCTGGTATGTGATGACAAGGTCTATTACAGGGAATACAAGCTTCTCAATCTATTAGAATTCAGCAGTTCCCGTAAGAGAATGTCCATTATAATAAAGGATGATGAAGGTAACATCTTTCTCCTGTGCAAAGGTGCTGACAGGTTTGTGTTTCATCTTAGTGGACCCCTAGTTCCCTTTGAAAATTGTATTGCTTAGCCTATTTTATAACATTTGCTTCCTTTAATGATCACATGTTTCCTTGTACTGTGGGCTGTATCTATCATCACATACTTGTACATGTCAATAAGTAGTTTAATCTTTAAAGATCATCATAAATATAAATGACTATTTGTTTCCAAGTCTTGCTGATCATGTCTGGGTGGGATTTACTATTGTGTAAAGTTGTGTATTGGGAAATGCTTTTGATAAATAATTTATATACATGGTTTCAAAAGTGTTGTTAGTTTGATGTATTCTTTGTATACTTGGTAACCAGTAAGAGGAAATGTGAGTGCTCAAGTTAAGGAATGATTATAGTTAATGCAAATAACTGCCATTGAAAAAAAATTAGGTGTATAATTTAATAAAGAACTTTGTTAAAGATGTGAAAATTTGAATGTTTTGTGATGTCATATGGAGGATGCACCTTGAAGTGGCTAGAAATGTTCGAAGGCTTTGTGCTCTTTGGTTCATTATTTCACTGAGTGTTATTAAATTTTGTATCACCAATCATAAATTCTGTATTATTTGTTGGTCAATCAGCTTAGAAATTTTATCAATTCCAATAAATCGATTCTCCTATTTTCAGTATTATCTTTGAGAGGCTTGCCAACGATGGTAAGCAGTATGAGCAGGCGACTCGTGCCCATCTTTCAGATTATGCTGAAGATGGCTTGCGAACTTTAGCATTTGCATACAGAAGGCTAGAATTAGCTGAATACGATGAGTGGAACTCACTATTTTTAAAAGCTAAGACTACTATTGGTCCAGAAAGAGAACACTTGTTAGAGAGTGCTTCTGAAATGATGGAGACAAAGCTGACTCTTTTAGGGGCTGCTGCGGTGGAGGACAAACTGCAGAAAGGGGTCAGATATTTTCCTATTATTCCTACTATTGTTTCAATCAAACCTGGGATTTTTCATGTTTATGTTGATCATTTAGTTGGAATAGGTTCCTGAATGTATTGATAAACTTGCCCATGCGGGTCTAAAGATATGGTTGCTAACTGGAGATAAGATGGAGACTGCCATCAATGTAGGGTAAGAAATGTGGTTGACTTGGTTTTTTGGCTGTTATTTGTAGTTCTCTTGACGGTTTCTCAAAAAACAAAAACTAGGTTGTCATATTATGTTACAAATTAATATCACTGTTGCATGTATTGCAGATTTGCTTGTAGTTTACTTCGACGGGATATGAAGCAATTCCATCTCAATTTAAAGATTGTTGATAAATCAGAAGTCCTTGAAAAGGTGTGCATTTGCTTGCAAATGCATCATATATTATATCCCATGGCCATACTTGACTTGGAGTTGAACATTGATATGTAAAATTCTGAATCACTATTTTCAGGTTTTAAAGGACGATCTCTTGCTTCAAATTGAGGATGCTTATCAAGCTACTTCTTTAGAGTCCGGCAGAGATACACCATTTGCTTTGATAGTGGAAGGGAAAGCTCTTGAACTTGCTCTGCAGAATGATGTGAAACACCAATTTCTACGCTTAGCTGTAAATTGTGCTTCTGTTATATGCTGTCGAATATCGCCGAAGCAAAAAGCATTGGTATGATGCAAAAAAACAAATTCCCTTTTTACTTTTTCCTTTGACTTCGCCGTTCTATAGATTTTTGTGTCAACTAGATACAAAAAATTGCAAAAATATCAAACTCAGGGACAGACTACTGAACATCCAAATGAGTCTAGCTCCACATGCACAACTTGCTCCTCGCAGATCCCTTTGGATTCTCATATCTCCTTTTCGTGTATTTTCTGTATGCCCCTATTACTTTCCAAATATTCTTGATCTCATCCAAGCAATATTGCAGGTTGCAAGATTGGTGAAGGAGCATACTAGTATGATAACTTTGGCTATAGGAGATGGTGCCAATGATGTTGGTATGATTCAAGAGGCGGACATTGGTGTCGGGATCAGTGGCATGGAAGGAATGCAGGTAATAATTAAACGTGCTATGAAACTTGAAGAGTATCCTGGACAGTCCTAGGGATCCAAGTATTTGTAGATATTGCTTAGAAATTTATGCATGATTGTTTTTCTTGGAGAGTCTGAATGAATTGTGTTAAATGCCTTGCAAAAGATCTATTTTTTCTTTCTTTTTATTGTTTATAGGTAACCGTTTCCACTAAAATGAGAGTACCAATCTTGTCAAAGATCAAATTTGATGAAGATTATCTTAAACAGTGGTGTCCCAGTAGGAATACACCATTACGCCATAAGGCGTGTACTACTACAATTTTAAATAATATTTTAGTTGTCCCTTTATGTGAGCATTCATCTGTATTAATCCCTATTTGATGGAGTTTGTATGTCTCTGTGATAAATGCAAAAGAAAAATATGGTGGTCTTAGGTTAATTTCCAATAATTCTATCGTGCAGGCAGTCATGGCCAGCGACTTTTCACTGCCACAGTTTCGCTTCTTGGAACGTTTGCTTATAGTGCATGGACATTGGTGTTATAAGAGGATTTCTAAGATGGTGGTTAACTTTGTGTCTGTCTAATTCATTGAAATTCTAATGACTTTCTTTTATTCTTTATGGCCCATGCTAAGCACATGCTGACTATTATCATTTTGCAGATATGCTATTTTTTCTACAAAAACATAACATTTGGTCTTACCTTCTTCTACTATGAGGTGTACACAAGCTTCTCGGGGGAGATTCTATATGATGATTGGTATATGGTGCTATTCAATGTGATTTTGACATCTTTACCTGTAATATCATTGGGAGTTCTCGAGCAAGATGTTTCATCTGATGTGTGTCTTCAGGTGAATTGAATGGTATCATAGATTTCGAGTGCATGGGAGCAATATGATATTTCACTTTAAGTTTTCCATTTTTCATTTAGGGAAAATATGATTAAAATGGTGAGACCACCTTAAAAAACTTCACTGAGGTTGTTCTAAAAATATTATTTCACGCATGCTCGGACCACCTTTTCACTCATGCTCCTCATAAACTTCCTTGTTCAAAAATGCCCAAAATTCCCATACCCAGGGTTTGGAATAATGAATAAGCAGGGGTATTTTGATGATTTGACCTACTTAAGTGGCCTATGTTAAATACCATTGCTTGTTCTATGTTGCAAATCAGGACATGATTCTTTTTTATTAAAACCTCTTATTCCATGTTGAAACCCTGAAGTAGGAGTATGTACGCCATTTCCCTCAACTTGAGCGGCCCGAACCAAATGACGAGACTATTTTTGCTTGTTTTGGGTCCCAAACATGGAATATGTGGTTTTTTTTCCATTAAAATCTCTAATTCCAGTTTGGAACCTGGAACAAGTTTAGGCATTGGGTAATTTGGCTCCACTTATGTGAAGTGAAAACGTTGAAATAGTCGAGTATGTACTTAAGTGAAATGATCTTATTAAAGCAACACATTTGTTTGCAAATATGTTGATTTAACATTTAACCACCTCATTGATTTTTGGAGATGGTTGACCATCCTAATGGTATTTTCCCTTTCTTTTATTCATAATTTGGCATGCATAACAGGGCACACAACATGTTGAGTTCTACCTTGTAGTTTGGTTCTCTTTAGCTCCTAGTCTACACATTAGTTTGTGGGTTCAAGTATCATGCTAAGGGAAAGTATACTATAATTTAGTGGGCTAGGGAAATCTGGAGTTGGGTTGTCACTGTCAAATGATATAGTGGATAATGATGGAGGGCGAGTGGGACCCACAATCATGGTCATGTCCTATTCAAGTGTGTCCCACTCTCTCTTTATAACCACCCATCTTATCAATGGTTGGTGATGACCCAATGACGTGTGGAAGATAGTGTGGGTTCACACCATCAGATAAAATGATGGATGGTGATGGAGAGTGGTGGCCATCTAGGGTCACGGTCCTTTCCTGTGTGTCACTCTCTCTCTTTATCATGATCACCATCTCAATGGATGGTGATGGGCCAAAGAACTCTGGCTTTTCCATATTCCATTTAATTGTGGTACATATTCCCATGATTTCATGTCTCTTTTCCGGGTTGGTCATTAGTATCTTTTCTTCTTTCCATTCCTCTGCCGCATCAAATCTTCTGTTTCTGCAGTTTCCAGCTCTCTATCAACAAGGTCAGAGAAATATCTACTTTAGATGGAGACGCATCCTTGGTTGGATACTAAATGGCGCCTACAGTTCTCTTGCAATCTTTCTCTTGAATATTTGTATCTTCCAGCTCTCTGCCTTCCACACTGAAGGTGAAGTTCCTGATCTTGCTCATCTTGGTGCCATAATGTACACATGCGTAATCTGGACTGTCAATTGTCAGATTGCACTCTTGATCGGCCATTTCACTTGGATTCAACACTTATTTATATGGGGTAGCATTTCATTTTGGTACCTGCTCATGCTTATATATGGTACCCTCCCACCAACACACTCAAATAGAGGATTTAAGATATTATCAGAGGCTCTAGGACCTGCACCAACATATTGGCTTGCCACCCTTCTTGTAGTGCTTGTTTCTCTTCTCCCTTACTTTGTGCATATTGTGTATCAAAGGTCATTCAACCCTATGGATGACCATGTCATTCAAGAAATTAAGTATTATAAGAAGGATGTTACAGATCGATTCATGTGGTTAAGAGAACAAAATAATGCCAAGAAGAAGACCCATGTCGGGTTTTCGTCAAGAGTTGATGCAAAGATCAAGTATTTGAGGGAGCAGTGGTATCGAAAGACGATGGCAATATACAGATCTATGACAAATAGCCCACTTTCCTAATTGGGCTTCACTTGTGCCTTGTGGAAGTTTATTCTTAGCTTTAAGTAAAATATGGAGTTTTGTTCGTTATTGGTTTGTTCTTTATTTTATGCTCCATTCATCTGTAATTCTTGATTCTTGTTTCAAATTGTTGAACACGTGTACCATTGCGATGTCGTTATATTGTTACTGTTCTTTTATGAATATTCCTGTAAAATTTTTGTACTTTACTTGTCATTCAAGTGATTTGCAATGAGTTTTGTCCTTGTGACTTGGAACCATGTTAGGAAGTCCCACCTAGTATCTGAACTCTACAAAATTTTGGCTTCAAAAATACCTTAAAAAAATCTTTCCACAAAGCCTTTATCCATTGGGAACTGGTAAAGAATTGCTAGAAACATGTAAAGATGCTATCATATCTCTTTTCAATGGATATTTTGCATTAAAATATTTTGAGAACATGAAGATTCTATCTTTTTTTTTTTTGATATGTTAACGGTGGGAGTAGAGGGTGGGACGTTATATTGAGGCATCAACCACCCCAACCACCGATGCCCCAACCCCATTCCCTTCTATCGTATTTTCTTTCCAAGGGAGATTTGGAGAAACTGATGCATACGTGAGAAAAGGCCTGGAACTTACTGCCTCTAAGGTGGAAAATCTTCCATTTTAGAAGAATATTTGTACCATCGCCATTCAGAATATTACAGGCCGAGGGTCCCATAATCTTATTACATCTTGATTTCTTAAAAAGAAACTTTATAAAGGCAAGGATTTAGATAAACTTCTGTAACATAATCTGGTACTCTGGTGATTGTAGCTTCTTCCAAAATTCACAAGTCTACTTCGTCACAACTAGTGAAGAGCTAAAAATCTAGTCACTTAGGTAGCAACCTGTTCTCTCAATAACTTTTCTTGCAAACCGATATACAAACTTCCACAGTAACACTGATAAATTTAATATCTTTTTCAAACTAAATGCAACTTGAACTTCAATTTGAAGATTTGGGTATCAAAGAACCATTCACACCTTGATACTTGATGTGTAGTGTTCGAATTTCAAAAGGATCCATGGCAAACAAAACCTAAAAACTAAAAAATACATCATGATTCATTAAATAATTAACCGCAATGTCATTCCAAATTGGTTCCCCAACTGCAATCTTTTGAAAATGACAGAAAGATGTGGCTTTACACATTAATTGATGTGGATCCAAAATAATTGTGGTGCTTCTTAAAACAAGTCCTTACCAATGCCTAGACCATGGTTTAGTACATCTCTAACAACAGAATAATCTGAGTACCTCACATATTTAATGATTAGTGTGAGATTCAAAGAAGGGATTGTATATAATGACACTATTTACCTTTAGTAAAGGAGATCACAATTACTTATAACCATCCGATGTGAAATTTGATAGCTTGGATGTGTCATAAGTTTGAGAAAATTTCTTTTAAACTTTGAGTTTAGTCAATGGAATAAGTGCAGCTACCCAAATTCACATCCAATGGTGAAGATTACTTGTGGCCACCTTATACCAAGATAAATAATTTCATGTTATACTTTTCCTTCAACGAAAGCAGGCAAAAAAAAAAGTTGTGTTATCTTCTTTGGATTTTTTTGACAAATTGCAAAGTTCAACTTTCAGCTCACTCACCCAAAACTCCTAAGCTGTCTTACTAAAACCAACATGTGGTACTACTAAGCCGAAGCCTAAGGGACCATTCAAAGATAGAGAGCACATAGAAACTCATAAATTTAATACAATGGCACCTCATTTTGTCCTTGATAATAAAAAGTGCTATACATCCCATGTCTTGAACCTGGTTCCACAGAATAGCCCAAAAGTCACTTCATAGGCCCTTAAAAATTTATGGACCTACCAAATCCAATGTTAAACCATGGCGCGCACATAAATTTTTTTGTTTTTTTAAAGAAGCCGGTACCTTTAAAAATTACAACAGTCCAAAATTACATAGGTATAGGATTGTATATAATGAGAGCGCTACTGTCGAGAAGGAGGGTGAAAAGAGTGATTGTGACTTTTTTTTGAAGCAAAAGCAAATGTTCTCACAGTGTACTTTCATTTTATATTTCGTTAGCAGGGTTATGTTACCTTTAAGCAGGGTTGCATGCTTGATTATACGTTTTCACATTCCATTGAGATAAAAAGGGCACGTTAATATTGGTTTGTGTTGGGAAGGAAAGCGTGTCATGCAGGTCAAGCTATGCGCACTCAAATTCCGTGTTTGAAAAATCGTTGATCGGGATTAGAACTGGCTTGTTTGACTTAGGAATTGATTTGATCAATCCAAATCTCATAAAATATGGGACTCTGCCATTTCTCCCCATGAATCAGCCGGTTATGTAAGAGAATCATTCAAAATTTGCCCCACTTTTTTTATTCTTTCATTTTTTAATTATCGGAACCGACTGGTTTGAACCGACTCTGCTTGGTTTTTCGATAGAACCAACACGTTGTTAGAGAACTGGCCAGATCCCAACCCAATTAATTTTTTCTATTTTTTATTTTTCTTCAGTTTGGTAAATATGATCGTCGATCGACCGAACCAGGTCGAAATCCAGAGGGGTGATTCGAGTCATCAATCTGTTCTTCAAAACCTTAGTCAAAACAAAAATGATGGAAACACCGCCTGTCTCATTAGTAACGATTCAAATCATTGTGAAAAAAGTGATATCACGAGATTGAATGGAGAATCAAATTCTTGTAGGCTGAGATTAGAGAATTCAAAATCCAAATTTTCTCTTTTTCCAAAAAATGATTGTCCACTAATTATTAAGGGAAAAAGTCTATATAAGGTCGACACCTTAAATTGAAGGATTAAGATGCACCTAAAAACTTTATTGAAAGAAGACTATTTTGATGTTGGAAAACATCTAATTGATTATTTCCATGTTGAGATATATAGATTGAAAAAAATAAAGAGAGTTCAAGTTTAAAAAATAGTACATATTACACATTTACATGAACCCTCTAATTTTAAGATTTTCATACATTTATAGATATGTTTGATTTGAACCATTTTCAAAGCTTAAAATTTTGTCATTAGAGATAAAAATATATTCTCAGGTCATCTGAAATTTTTATACCAAAATTACATCTTATGAAAAAATTTGGAAGTGCACATTCCTCTCTCATTGATTAAGGTTGCAATCTTTTGCAAACCTCACCCATTATCAATGGGGTTCCGAAAATAAGAGATGCCAAAAAGATTTTCCCAATTTTGTTTGGGGGATTAAATTCCGCGGGACCATATTATACACACTTTGCATGCATCTCTCTCTACCCTGGGAGACCCCAATCCGAGGTTTTCTTTGCTGGGCAGCAGTGGAATGCATGTTGTATTGCTCGCCAACCCGCCTCTATCTTTGTAGCAGCAAACTTCAAGAACAGGTACAACCATTACAGCCCACTTTCATCTTCTTCATCTTTGGTTATGGCATTTCCATTCATTCTCTGACTAACTAAGCTGGAAAAGTACCACCCATAAAGTTCTCTCAAGCTCCATTGATACAGAGACATGCTTCACCCTCTTTTCTTGCCCAAAAACGGCCTGAAATTAACGAGGAACAGTTATAGATTGAACCCATTTTCTCTCACTAAATTTAACCATGGAAATCAAACGCCAAACCCATATTTTCATGAACATCTCCCTTTCATAGATGTTAAATATATTATCGCCCCTCAAGTTTCAATATTTTCTCGGTTTTTCTCTCTCAAGAACCCAAACACTCTCTGTAAAACTTCAAATAATGCTTTTCACATGACTTTATACTCAACAACTTGTTATAGACCTTATAGCTCGACAAACCCGCCTGAGAAAAACGCAGAGAAAGACTTTGGTTCTGGTGAATTTACCGATGAAGTTGTTTACTTGGAAGAAACTGGTGAAATAATCAGCTCTAGCAAAGGTATCAGGTACGTTGAGCCTGGTTTAGACGACCATATTTTGGTGGGTGGTGTTAAGAAAAGCTTTCCTGACCCTGTTATGGTTGCAAAGATTATAGAGATTGTGAAGAGATGGAAATGGGGTCCTGAAATGGAAACCCAATTGAACCGGCTTAATTTTGTCCCTAAAATGTTTCATATAAACCAGGCCTTGGAAAGGATTGAGGACTTGGATTCTTCATTGGGTTTGTTCGGTTGGGCCAAGAGGCAACCATGGTATTACTCCTTCGATGAGAGCTATATGATATTGTTTAATAGGTTGTATAAATCTGGGAATTTTGAGGGAATTCAGTCTTTATTTGATGAAATGATTGAAGACCCCTGTACCAAGTCATTTAAATCATATAGTAGTGTGATTCAGTCTTATACAAGAGCTGGTAAATTGGAGCTTGCGTTTTGTTGCTTCAAGAAGATGCATGAATTCGGATGCAAAACAGATGCACAAACTTATAATTCTCTCATCACTTTGATTCTAAATAAGGGTCTTCCCTATAAGGCTTTTGAAGTCTATGAAATAATGGAGAAATCAGGTTGCTCCTTGGATGCTTCTACCTATGAGTTGATGATACCCCACCTGGCAAAATCAGGTAGATTAGATGCGGCTTGCAAGCTTTTTGAAGAGATGAAAGGGAGAAACTACCGACCAAGTGCTTTGGCCTTTACTTCTCTTGTTGATTCCTTGGGGAAAGCTGGGAGGCTCGATGCCACCATGAAAATTTTCATGGAAATGCAGGGCTCTGGCTTTAGGCCATCGCCTAGTACTTATGTCTCCTTGATCGAATCCTTTGTCAAGGCTGGGAAACTAGAAATGGCTCTGAGGCTTTGGGATGAGATGAAACTAGCTAGGTTTCGACCAAATTATGGGTTGTACACTATGATTATTGAATCCCATGCTAAGTCTGGGAAGCTCGAGATTGCTTTATCGATCTTTACTGATATGGAGAAAGCCGGTTATTTGCCTACTCCTAGCACTTACTCATGCCTAGTGGAAATGCACTGTGCTCGAGGACAAGTTGATCCAGCTATGAAGCTTTACAATTCTATGACTAGTGTGGGGTTGAGGCCAGGGCTAAGTACATACACTTCTCTATTGACTGTTTTGGCTAATAAGAAATTGGTAGATGTGGCAGCCAAGGTCTTGCTAGAGATGAAAGCAGTTGGGTTCTCAGTAGATGTGAATGCTAGTGATGTCCTTATGATTTATATTAAAGATGGGTCAGTTGAGCTTGCTTTGAGATGGCTTCGATTCATGGGGGCCTCAGGAATTCGAACAAACAACTTCATTATCAGGCAGCTGTTTGAGTCGTGCATGAAGAATGGGCTTTATGAAGCAGCAAAGCCCCTTCTCGAGACTTACTCTTCGTCAGCTGCCAAAGTCGATCTCATTTTGTATACTTCTATCCTGGCTCATCTTGTGAGATGCCACGATGAGGAAAAAGAGAAGCATCTCATGTCAATTTTGAGTGCCACAAAGCATAAGGCACATTCATTTATGTGTGGGATTTTTGCTGGTCCTGAACAAAGGAAGAAACCGGTCTTGGCTTTTGTTCGGGAATTTTTCCAGAGCATTGACTATGAAACAGAGGAAGGGGCAGCCCGATACTTTGTGAATGTGCTTCTTAACTATCTCGTTCTCATGGGTCAGATAAACCGAGCCCGTTGTGTGTGGAAAGTTGCTTACGAGAACAAGCTTTTCCCAAAAGCCATAGTTTTTGATCAACATATAGCTTGGTCTCTAGATGTTAGGAATTTATCAGTTGGGGCTGCTCTTATTGCAGTGGTCCACACACTGCACAGGTTTAGAAAGAGAATGTTATACTATGGGGTTGTTCCTAGACGAATAAAGTTGGTTACAGGAGCCACCTTGAAGATTGTGATAGCACAGATGCTAAGTACAGTGGAATCACCCTTTGAGGTTAGTAAAGTTGTTTTGAGGAGCCCTGGGGATTCAGTCATGGAGTGGTTCAAGAAGCCTATTGTTCAACAGTTCCTTCTAAATGAGATCCCATCGAGGTCTGACATCCTCATGCACAAGCTTAACACTTTGTTTCCTAGCTCTGCCTCTGAGATTCGTTCTACTTTAGCTCCGAGGCCAATTTCTTTGGTAAAGTAAGGTAAGAAGGCCGAATATTATGGGGGTTACTTGTAACTTCTGGTAGTCTATAAAGATGCAACTTGTTTGCATTTGGGTATTATTGATGAATACTTGTTTGCATTTGAGTATTATTGACGAATAGATGTTTCACCTCTCTTGATGTTGTATGGTTGTATTATGCTATCAATAGCAGTTTTGAATTCCATTAATTGGGAGTTGCGCACTGAGCAATGCAAATTGAATGGAGCACTTCATTGTTTATTAAGTGTGTTAGTTTGATGTTCATTTTTATTTTTGCAATTAAGTTCTTTGCCTGGTTTTGTGCAAATGAAATGTTGTTGGAATAAAAGTGGAAAAACAAAAAGGGGTCTGTATACCACGCAAGCATATGGCTTTAGTCAGGTTGAAGGCACCTCGCAAACAGCCCATTGTTGACATTTAATGGCCATGCGGTGCAAGCAAACTGCCCAAATTCTAGCATAGAATCCTTCTTAAAAAAAACTATTCAAATTGATCTATTAGTTTGCTATAGTTATCATAGAGTTTACAAATATGAAACAATAGTTTGCTTTTGTTTCCCTATCCTTGAGTGTCCAAGACATCATGAGACATCTATGTTTTATGTGGATATCTTCCCCTTCTCTTGTATATCGAAATCATCATGCACCCAATGATATGGTTCCACCTTTCTCTGAACCCCAATAATATTTGGAGTTTAGTACAAGACTTCCCAGATCATCATCATCAGAGCCTTTTCCCAACTATTTGAGTTCAGTGCGAGACTTCCTATATAATAAGTAAAATCCACTTGGTACTCATCCAAGGAAAATTGTGGTAATCCCATTGACTTGTTTCTTTCATAACATGCAGATAAATGAGAAAAAGGAAAAAAAATGAAGATTCAGAGGTCTTGAAAATATTTTAATACATACAAAATAAAAATAATTGAGATAAAAAAGTTTGGGATGGGTTAATGGATTTCTTTTTATTTGTGTGAAACACACTTCATGGTTCAGTTTAATTTTTTATTTGTTCAAGAATGATATTCAAGTATAAAGTTTTGATGATCTGTTTTTTAACAAGGGCATGCACATAAAACCTTAGTTTACTGATAGATATCATTATATCTAACTTGGTGGTTGATATTTATCAATGTTTTGGTAAGTGAGAACTTAATTTTTCATTACCATGAGCACACAAATGCAAGCCAAAATGTGGTGTTTCATCAAGAAAGCACCTTGCTCACTATAAACCGCATTACTTTTTATGAAAAAAACAAGAATCAAGTACGACAGCTCTGTGATTGACATGCCAAGAAGTCCTCTTCAGCATCTTGGCACACTAAAAGATGTGGTTTGGTATTATTGAATTGAGATGCCACACTACTTCTTATCAAACTTTCTTGAAATTTAGGAATTTTTTGATTTGCATTGAAGATAAGCAAGCTATCAATTGATCCTTGTTCATTAATCATGGAAATGCTCATCTACGATATCCTGGAGAAACCATGATTTTTCCAATGTAGAATTTAATATTCATGCAGTTCACAGATTGCCATACCTTGAATTGTTGCTATGGTCATATTGGTCTCATATTTGGGAGTATTTTTAATAGTAATAGCCATTGTCACCTAGTTGTGTGATGTTCCTTGATGAGAATGAGCTTTTCATATGTTGAACACTGAAACTGACACAGCTTTTTAATGTGGCAAACAAGTAGCAGACAGTTTCTTTTACAGTGAACCTTGGAAATCCGAAGATTTTTTGGAAGCTTAATTTCAAGAACTAGTTATTATGAAGTGTACGGTGCTCTACTCGGATAGGTGGTCATCTATCCCATGATTTTGCCAACTATTTTCACTTAGTGATAAGAAAATTTGTCTTGGTTCTAAAATATTCAACGCCCAGTTTTGAATCTCAAAGGCTGTTTCAAACATTGAAACTTGACAAACTAGCATTAGTTCTTGATTGTCATAGGAGTTCATTGTTTCCAAATTGATACTATTAGATAAACCAATATTCACGGTGCTTTTTAGTAGAACCATCGGTCTTGGACCTATATTTATATCCTTGCATTTCGAATGTTTGTAAGGGCCTATTTGGATTCACCTATTATCATTAATAGTTCACTGTTTGGACAAAAATATTCATTATAAGACTTATTTGTTGTTTTTAGTAGCTCTTCTTAACTTATTGATTTGTGATAAACTTTTTGTGATAACTTATTGATTTGGACAAAAATATTCATTATAACTTATTGATTTGGACAAAAATATTCATTATAAGTCATGAGTTTGAGAAGCGATTTTTCTTTGCCCACCGACGCTGTCACTGTTCTTAAAGAAAACCCAAAAAACCAGGGCATTGGAAAAGGCATGCTTCAAGAGTATAAACCAGGTATCTCTCTCTCTCTCTCTCTCTCCTCCTCACACACTACACTACACTACTACTACTACTACTACTACTACTACTACTACTACTACTACTACTACTACTACTAACTACTAACTAA